TGTGTGTGTGTGTGTTTCTAGGGATCTGAATTTCAATCCTCAAGCTTAGTGCTTTATCCACTGAGCAAATGCCAGCCATGTGTATAGTTTATCTTAGGACTGATGAGTATCAAATTCAATTTAATGACTTAAATATAGGTAGAGCCTTATAGAAGAAAGACTTATCATATTAATAATCTAATAAAACAGTAACTATACAGGGCATTGTCAGTCAACAGAGTCGGCCAAGCTACTCAGTAACCACCATAGTAAGATTTTAGTGAATAAAGAACTTCTTATCTATACACACTTCTTTCTAATATTCGGACTTATATTCAACATTAAGTGGAATATTGGAAGGACATGTGTTGCTTTGAGCAAGCACTATTTATGTTTTTTCCTGCTTTTAGTACATCCTGACACAAGCCAAAATGCTCTATTACACACAGAGAGAGTCACGGGCATGGATGTGGCTTCCAGTGTGTATCAACACCAGTGTACTTACGATGCTTCACATGAAAATTCGGCATTTCCCTACAGACTTTTTTTTATTGTACTTGGCCAGACATTTTACTCTTTACTATCCAGAGGAAAACACCAGAATTACTGGAGTCTACCATAGGAACCCAAACTGCACTGTTACCTAAAAACAAAACAAAACAAAACAAAACAAAACAAAACAAAACAAAACAAAACAAAACACCTCGTTCATTTGATTTGCTGAAAGATAAATTCAACCAACTCCTTAGGTGTTACTCACATGAGACACAAATTACAAAATGTCTACTTATCACATTGTAGCAATACTCTTTTATTGTTCTGGGCATAAGATAAAAACAGCCATGCTATTATATTTGATCTGTGACCATGGAATGATCGTATTAGTGGGTGGCTGGAGTTCTGTGTTCAAGAGTGACAAATCAAACCCTACAAAGTAGAATTACACATTCACAACAAACCAAATCAGAGCTCATTTCTTCCATCACTTTTACAATGGGAGAAGAATGCTATTAATGGGGCATAGACTCATAGAGCAAATGCCAAAATATGAGCTGAAAAACGGAGAAGGAGAAAAAGAGAAGAAAACATTTGCTGAAGGAACATCACTTTAAAGCAGGCCTGTGGTCCCACTAAGATTCTGTCCCTCTCCCACCCCAGCTATGATGAGAATACAATGCAACTGAATGGTCAAGATCTATCCAGAGCCATCTTCCTTAGCAAAGCAAAGGACACTGGTGAGGGTGGCTTCCTTCCTCCCCAACCCCACAGAAGGTGAACTTTCACTGGGATAACAGGATCTCATTCACAGTCTATTTTGTCCTAGTCCCAAGCTCACAATCCCCCGCAACAGCACCGCAGGTCACCTACGTGGCTCTCGGCACTTCTAGCACTGACACAAACGGCCTTATCTGCCAGCATGGGCCACTACAAACGGATTTGTGGTGGTTTATCTCCTCCCACAGAAATAGAGATGGCCGGAGGACAAATGCTCCTGTTGTAACCTAGAGAAGCTGACACTCACAACAGCTCCTGCTCGCTCACTCAGATCCAGTCCTATGAAAAGAACTGTGTCTTGCACCAGAAAGGAGCCCCAAGCAGAAAAACTTCAGATAGACTATAGGCATCAAAAGCCAACTGTGATTCTAATAAAGATCATATTTGTCTCCTGTACACAGGATCATGATTTTAAGGCCACCACACACTCATAAATTTGATTCTGAATTTCGGTTTTAGAGTAGCTATATATGTTCACATATATATGTGTATATATGTGGTCTCCACTGGGGCAGACCCCACAACATTTTAGCCACAGTTCAAAAGAAGCAGTGGGGGTTCACGTGTTCGCAGTCAGTTCTGAGCGTGCACTTTCTACTCTGCTTCACGCAGCTGTGCCATCGCCATCATTTTGCGGAGAAATGATGACATTCTTACAAATGTCCACTTATTCAAAGCATGTTAGCATAGCGGTCTTCAGGCAACCTGTATGATTCAGCCCAAAGGAGGCCCAAATCATACTTACTGCTGGAGTTGTAAATGTGAAATACACAGAGATTTATTGTTAGTTTCCTCCCTGTGCTGAATAAGCAGACAGAACAAGTTGCAGATTGTCTGAATATCCACAAGATGAATTTTGCCCTTGATTTGGCTCAAGCCACAAGAAGGGCTTTCGTGGCTTTTTAGCACCATGGCTTTAGGCTGCTCCTCCCCCAAGCCCACATACATCACTGATTTTATTACTGTACTTTTGAGAAAGCCGGGTTTTACCGAAGATGAAATATGATGCGCTGTATGGGACAATGTGCTAAATGCCGCACCATCTGGGTCTAACCCTTTTTAAGAAATATTCTTAAATACTGAAGGGAATTTAATAGAAACATCACTGAGGTTTCAGTGACTAAAATGTGGCCCAGGAATAGCATGTTAACCGAAAAGAGGGGTCAAGTGGCCCAGCTCTCAGAAGGTTTATTCTGATTTCTTGAACACTGCGTCTGAGAAAACCACATTGAGAGAAAATATTCTGTATCTCCCCAGTGATATTTACCCAACACTCTGTAAGCCAAAGTCATTACTCCCCTGGTTTAGACGATGTGGGTTAAAGAACCTGCAAGCTGTGTTCCCATCCTCGAGGGAACATGTAAATTAAGCAGAATTCCCAAACTGTGCATCCATTACATAAGCGCTTCTTTCTGAGGGTCGGCTGCTAACCAAGCTAACTTAGCGTCATTTCAAATGCTGGGGCTCAGAACCAGCAGGGCCCTAAGACTGCAACACTTCCTGTTTGTTTTAAGACATTTTCAGATGGCTGAATGGCTTTTTACTCCGACTTTATTAGGTGTTAGGAGCAAGTCTGAGTCTTTGCTGCCCTAGCAACACTCTTATTACCTCTGTTTCTCAGATGAGGAAACAGGACCAGGAACATCTAGTGACGAGCAGATGGGCAGGTAATCCCAGAGACTCCTTCTCTTTCACCTCTGCTGAAGAAGATGCGGAGCTCCACTCTACCAAACGCCACTGCCAAGCTGTTCTGTCCCTTACAGGCCCAATGCCACACCCTCACTTGAAACTGACTTCTATTTCAGATGTAGTACATGGCAGAAGGTCATTTTACATAGTGTTTACAGGGCTTCACTAGGACTAGTCTGCTACCTGGGGTCAGGTGAGCTTCTCCACTATCCTGGTGTTAAGACTGTAAACCAAAAGGAACCTTTTATCACTATTAGTGGACTATCTCAAGTACTTGGCTTTGATGATAGACGGCTGCCATGGTATCCTTCTGCTGGCTCCTCCTCTCCTAAGGCAAGTCCAGGACGCCTGACACAATCTGTCTATCTTGCGTGTACAAGCTCCTTCTTCTCCTCATCCCTCTGAAGGAGGGTTGGCTCTTTCTTTTCCGGAACTATCAACCTCCCTCAAGAGCTTGCCTGTCTTCACTCTTCTCTGGCTCACCACACAGAGCCAGACACACTCAACCACCTACTCTCCCTCAGCTCTTGCAGAGATGGCTTTATGGTCAGGGCTTAGAGGAGAAGAAAAAAATGGCATGGTTCCTTCTTCTTCCTTTTAGTCCCCAAAGGAGAGAGCAAAACTACAGCTAAGGGGAAAAAAACGCTAAGGGGAAGGCTCACCTGAAAGGAAGGGAAACCAAGAGTGGCAGGGCCATGCTTTCTCCTTTTACCACACTGCATGGCTCCTGGGCTAAGCAGGGAGGGGTGGGGGAGGGAGGGTGGCTGATGAGATGCAGGTCGGAAGTAGGAGTGGCAGCATGGACAACGGGGCCGAAGATGGTGGGGAAGAGTCTCAAGTAGCCTCCTTTTAGGACCAAGGATTCAGCCATGACCCCGGGGTGCTGTGTAGACTGAAATCTGGAGAGCTTGCCTCCTTTAAGGATTCAGCCATGACCTCGAGGTGCTGTGTGGACTGGAGTCTGGAGAGCTAGCCTCCTTTTAGGACCAAGAATTCAGCCATGACCTTGAGGTGCTGCGTGGGCTGGAATCTGGAGAGCCAGAAGCACAGTAGAAATGCTCCCCTTCCAGGTGTGGCTAGAACTCAGAGAGGTAGGCTTCACTAAGAGAGGAAAATCGGAATTTCCTTTGAAGTGTGCAATCGTGAATAATTTCAGTATTGGCCAGGTTAATGACCAACTCTGTATCACCTCCCACAAACCACCAGTGTCAGTTAAAGCGTAATGAGCTTACAAAGCAATGCTCCTTTTTCAGGTGGCCGATTGCTCACCCTGCCATTTAATCTCATTCCCAAAACTGTCATCTTCAGTTTATAACGTAAGGATTAACAAGAGACACTTTGTTCCTCTGCCCCAGACTTCTGGAAACCCACTGGCTTCAATCCTGGATGCTGGCACAGCTCTCCCCACACTTTAAAAGAGATGCAGTGAAGGATGGGGCAGAGGAAGGCCAGATATGACCCTAGTGAGGGTGTCAGTGTGGGTCCAACCAGCCCCTGCAGAAGCAACCTGCCCGCACCTCGCCTTTCACAGCACTGGGGAACGAACGCAGTGCCAGGCAGGCGCCCTCCCCCACACTCCTCCCCCACGCTCTTTAAAACAGTTTGAAACCTGCTATTCTTCTAACCCATTCTACGATGATCTAACGGCTATACGAACCTTACACCACGGCAACTGCCTCAAGATGAATGGAGAAGAACATCATTAACAAATATTCAAATGTTCATTAATAAATATTCAAATTTGCACTAACAGATATTCAAATATTCATTAACAAATATTCAGTGCTCTTGGTGCTTCTGGTGTTCCAGTGAATGTGCTGCCCGTCTCCAACAGAGGCCCCACAGCACACCCGGCCGCTTGAGCTGTGCCTCCAAAGCATCAAAACAACACACAAACACACACACACACACACACAGCCAAGCAAACAGGTTAGACAAACAAGGCGTTTGAGGCATAGGCAATTTTAGCTTGAAAACTTCCAGCTACAATAAATTTCCAATTTTAACTCTGGTGTTTTTCTGATGTGCTCAGGATTATCAACGAAACAAACACTTACCAACCAGGACAACAAGCCTGTATTTCTCGTGAGTCTGCCGGCGGTACGGCGTCACCTCTTCATATGTGGGCACGTCGGCTGTGTCATACTGGTCGCTCTTCTTGCATTCATACATGGACTTATTTGTCTTCTTATCTTTCCTGCTAAGACGGAAACTTCTTCTAAAACCAGCTACAATAAAAATATACATGTATGTTTAGAACCGTTTAGTGTATTTCCAGCTACAAGTTAGAATCCCCCAAACCGAATATTAAAATCTTCTGTAAAACTCCACAATATAAAATAAAATTCAACTGTCCTGTAAATGTACAGAAGTAGATTTGCTTGAAAAAGAACACGGGGGGCTGGTAAGAACAGTGCCTGCTGAGGCAACTTCAATCTCTAGAACCGACACGAAAGAGAGAACGGAGTTCCTCACTGTCCCTGACCTCCACAGAGAGGCTACGCCTCGTGTGCATTCACACATATCCACACACACGTGAAACAAACAGAACATAATAAAAAATTAACGATGAAGAGTAATAAATTGCATCCATAGACTACTTTGTGTTCTTCCACAAAAATGAAACAACCTATGTATGAATTTTGGAGCCTACATAAGAAGTGAATAATTATTCCCACTGGGTTTAAGAAAGTAAAAGGAATCAAAAGAAAGGCACTCCGAGGGTAACGGCGGCCAGGGCTGGACTGAAGCGCAGCGGGCCGAGTACTTGCCTGGCATGCACGATGGCCTGGGTTGGATGCCCCGCAGAGACCTGGGCAAAATGGGCTCTGTGCTGTGTATATGTAATCCCAGCACTTAGGAGGTGGAGGCGGGAGGGCCAGAAATTCAGGGCCATCCTTGGCTACATAGTGAGTTTGAGGCCAGCCTGGGTTACATGAAACCAAGTCTCAAAAAAAAAAAAAAAAAAGTGAGTAAATATGGAGTTATCTGAGAGACCTGATGGAGTTGAGTTTAATAATAATAACAAAGTCAGCAAAGACTTTTGCAATGGACAGTGACATTACAAATAGCTTAACAAGAAATTTTAAGTCAGCGAAGATATCCTGCACGGAATAACAACAGCCATTCTGGGACTCTCAGAGAGTAACTGCTTTTGAGGCAATCCTGGGTTACTAGGGAAGTAAGCTCCTCCTATGAGGAGGGGTCACACCTTAGTTCCCGCAGGGACAAAGAGGAGGTGTGAACAGGACCAGTCAGTCACAAAACCCACCCTTGTCTGGTGGGGTGAGGCAGAGGGAAGCATGCCACCCTGGCCAGTGAGGGTGCGCGGTGGGGAGACAATATGGGTTCTAAAGCCACATGGACGAGAAGCCAGCATCCTGTGAGGGGCTTAGAGGACCCTCCGCTCCTGTCTCCCTAGGACCCCGAGGAACTGCTGAGAACCTGGTCCTCCAAGCATCCCTTTGCTAGCTCCACCTTCCCAATAGCCTGCCTCAGGGGAACCCAGACACTTGCCATTTGGCTGGGATCAGCACAGGGGTCTCAGACCTGAGCCCCGCCTAAGCTAGCAGAGTCTACTTATCTGTGCCCCCAACACAGTGATGGTGACTGGATTTGTGGTTGGTTATTCTGACGGAAAGAGGTGGGATGCTGGCGTCGAGGGGTCTAACTGCAGTCAGCAGAAATGCTGGGTACAAGCATCATCCAACACAAACGGAGTCCTACAGCTAAAACCGGAGAAAATTCTGATCTGATTTCTGAGAAACTGCCTAGCTAGTTGGGTCTCTTACAACTCACTGACGTTTTTACTCCTGCTATAAACAAGAAACGGAGCGCAGGAAAGGGGAGAGGGCAAGCAGATTTCCAAAGCAAGGCTGAAAATGATGGGCGTGCACTCCACAGAATGGGTGGTGGAGTCTTTTCTGTGGTGCTTCCCATGAAACGGGGACTTAAAAATTTACCAAACTCAGATTTAAGACAGCAGCCTCAAGTACAAGCCCACTCTGTTCTACCTTTAAAAATGTCAACCAAGAGAGCCAAACACATGGGGACTTTCCAGCAGACCTGAAGTTGTGCAGAACACTGGAGGGCCCAGGCCAGGGACTGTTAGGCTGGAACTCAGCTCTACCTTCAGCTTTTCAGGAGCTATGTCCTAGAACTGCCTTGCCTGAAAGCCCCCTTTACAAAACCCAGGAGGAAAACTGGCCAGTGGGAGATCGGCAGAGGCTGGGGGGTGGAAAGCGAGGGGCTGCCCTGCCATGCATCTCTGCATGCATACCGGGTGAGCCATGAATCTCTGCAGTTTGAGGAGTCTGCTGTAAGGCTTATTTCCTGTAGCTCAGAGCACGTATAAACAGCAGCACCCCTCCCAGGGCGGTGAGGACAGGCCTCTCCTGGCCTTGGCCCACGGCAAAGACTCCTTCATGTGCCTTAAAGGTCTGCGGCACACTGTGTGTCTCCCACTATCTGACTGCGCCTTTAGGGCAAGCATGGATTCCTACAGCACAGACCCCCTCAGAAAGGAGAAAAGTCCATCTGAGAGCTCATTAATCAATTTTAAATGGGCTCTTGGAAAAAGAGAAAAGATCGGTAAAATGAAAGCCAGATTTAAATATGTGACTCAGGGAAAGGGTATCACTGAGGTGTACTATGGCATGTGGCTTCCATGAGGCCTTGGGTTCCCTTATCTTCAGTGCCACAACTTATAAACAGTTATTTTAAATGCCTTACTGACCAGTCATTGTAAAGAAACACATCAGAACACTAAGTGTGTAGTAACTATTCACGTTCTCTTCTAGGAATGCATGTACTTTTTGTTGCCAAACTTACTTTTTAAAAGCATCCATTCTTCCAATCTTACGACTTTTTTTAAACTTACTTTTCCACATCATCAGTGTGTATGTATTATTTACACTGCCACTTTATATATAGATATATTTGTATTCATATACATACATACTCAAATTTGACAACATACACATGTAAAGAAAACAGGAAAAAATTTTCAGCTCAGAATCAACAGTTAACAAGTATCTTTTTTTCGGGCAAAAATCCAAAACCCAAACATACCCAAGTATACACACACACACGTGCACAAACTCCCAAACCAACATACACTCACACCCCTGCACACTAGCCAACACCCAAACTCAGATCATTTTTCTAGAGAGTACCCTTCCACAGCTTGTGTTCCCAGCCTGCAGTTGGGAAGGAGTGACGCGCCCATCAGCCCTGCACGGCGAGTCTCCAGGAGAATACATCCTATCCCAGAGGCGGGGGCTGCTAACAACTTCTTGACTTTGGATCTTTCTTGGTTCTCTTACTAAAGAAGCCTGAACAGCACGGAGCTAAGGGGAAAGTCAGCAACGGTTCTGTTCGGATAAACGGCAGTGACACAGCGTCCAGTAGGACTCGGTCAGTGTGCTGCGCTTAGCAGGCCGCCTGTGGGAGGCAGAGGGTGAGGAACTCTCTCACCCTCTCAGGGAACAGCTTCACAGGACATGTACTTTCCTTAGGCTTCATCTTTTTGTAATTTATAGTGGGCCCAACATTTCTACCTTTCCGGGGAAGGTTATCCACAGCTGCCAGAAGTCTGTGTCTCTGAGAGGAACAGCGAATTTTATTACAACAGAAAAGTGACAACAGAGTGGGACGCAGATGCAGGACAAGGCTTTGCAGTGGTGACAATTCACAGAGACAGGCCCATCTGTCATGTAACCCTACAGCTCTGCTTTAAAACACGAGCCATGAAGGGGTGAGGAGAAAGAAAACGGCTTGTTACCGGGGCCCAGCTGTAGACGGAACCTGTGACCTCCTGAGGACACTCGGCTGACAGTGGGGCTTTTCTGGCCCAGGACGCCTCCGGTGGGCTAATATCACGGCCCGTTGGCAGGCTGCATACTGTTCTCCTTCTTTAAAACCTTCAGGATGTGGCAGCTGTCAATCTGGGTGTCACTGCTATCAAAGGTGGCCGTGGGGCTGAACATTTTCACCTCGTGACTCTTGGCCTTCCTCGTTTCTCCTGTCACTGCCTGGTGACACCGGCATATCCACATCTGCGTGTGTCAGCAGGCCTGGGAGCGCCTCCCGGAGCTAGGTCGATGGCGTGCTGGAGTCCTTTCTTTGCTTTTGTTCTCCCCCACTGCTTTAAGAACTCTGCTCTTCCTACGTCTGATAAATATTCTCCCACATACTTCTAAATTTTACGAAAGGGGATGCATGGCTTTATACTTAATTTTTTTTTTTTAAATCCCATCTGGAATCGCTCAGATGTAATCATTACATGAAGTCTGTAAAGTGTGGCTGTGACTTTCTATTCTTCTATATAATTAACCGATGGTTCTAAAAGTCCCAAAGGAGAGGACCGCCATACAACCTCATATTGAGACATATGTGCAAAGGCTTCGAATTGTTTATGCCATAACAAAAAAGGATCAGGTTCTCGACCGGAGCTGAGCTCATTCTCCGGATCATATTGTCACAAAAACATGCTTGCAAATGGTGGCAGCTTACTGAGAACGGATCGGTGGCAGGCGCTCCTCAAAGCACCTGGGGCGGGTTCGCTTACTCTTTCCCCAGCAGCTCCGGGAGGGGGTTGAGTGTGAATGGCCTTCACTGTAATAAAAAGCGATAGCTGAAGCAGGGCTTAAGTATTCCACAATAAAACGAGGTCACAAACAAAGTGAGAAATGCCACCCTGTGCTCACAGGTGTGGGAAAATGATGAGCCCCTGACACAATGTAGCAGGAAGAGCCTATCAGAGAAAAGTATCAGTTTAATTTACAGATTAAAAGGTTTCTTCTGGGAATGTGTTTTTTTTCTTTTTCTTTTCTTTTAGCAAATTAAGTAAGCGTTATGTTCCCGTTTTTAAGGTGAGTTATAAAACACAACAATACAAGACTGTGTCACTGGCCTCAAGCAGCTCTCATCCTGCTGGGATGCAGAAGGCTGTTCTCATTCACTGAAAACACACAAGCCTGGCTGTATCTTGGGACTCTTTGAAGGATTTAGAATGTCTGATCTGACACATATTATATATGAAACTCTGTTGTAATCTGGTTATTCTCAAAACTTGCCTCATACTTCTAGCATGTACATTACACATACTATGTCTGTATAACAGTAGCCAAGAGTATGGAATTTAAGAAGCATTTGTGATGGAAATAAGCTTTAGCATTATAGAAAACAGCACATCTCTCTACAACTTCATACACTGATATTAGTTTTA